TGTAATTTTTATTTTAAGCAGCAGCCATTTTTCTGTATCTCCAATAAACATAATTCCAATTCTTGACCTGGTTACTCATCTGTGTGAGAGCAAACCTGGCATTTCTGCAGGCCATTTTTGGCTTCTGCACGCAACTTCCTGCCTCTCCAGGCCCCAGTCACATACTGTCGCTTAGGTACGTGCTGTGTAAATCGGCGCTTGGCTGCAGAACATGCCTTGAGACTTATTTTTTGACATGATGGTGGTAACTTGACCGCACTAGCCTTTGTTTATTTCTTGAACCGAAACTGCATGCCTGCATGAAGATTACGAAACCCTGTGATTTCATATCGATCCTCTCATGCTACAGATGTTTCTCCTTAAAAGTCGGCTTGGAAAGATGCCCAGTGAAGGCTGGGAGAAAAAAAAACCAAAGCTGTACATTTCCCATAGGATAAAACTCAGCGTGGCTGGAGTTAGGGATCATGTTCCCTTTGGTTAATGTCCTTTTTATTTTGCAGCATATGTGCCTGGCGTGTGTCCTATCCAAACGATGACATTTTAGTAGAAAAGGAAGTGCCTACTTGAGTGTCTAGAGCCTCAAACTGCCATGAAATATACAGTATTGAATGCACATCTTGAGCAGGGGGGTTTCCAGCTGTGGAACAGCTAATCACAGAGTGGGTGTCTCTCTTGTGTGGAAGCCCTGCACAATGGTTTGTGCACCACTGTGGGTCCCCGTGAGTCCCAAAAGCACGTGTTGCACAGGGGAGCGATTCACCCCAAATAATCCCAAATTCAGGCCCCAAAGAAGTTGCCCCTGGAGTTGAGCAATTCCCAGTGAATAATTATAAAATAAAGGGCACCTCCTTTTGTTCACTGAATAGCCGCAGCCGTCTCACAATTTCCTTGAATTTAGCGCTTGTTTTCCAATTGGATGAAGCGGTAACTTTTGAAATTATGCGGGTATTTTCTAAAGGGTTTTTCTATGGCATGATGATGAATATTCAAAATTCAGGCAGTGTTTGGGGATACAAGTGACATGGTGTTGTCTTCTGTTCCTCGATTGGATGAGCTTGTGAGCACTTCTGCCGTGACCTCTTTGCATGGGACGTTGAAATTGGTTTCTTGGCTGTCTTTTTGCCAGTGAAATGTGAAGGTTTGAATCTTTGTGGGGAAAAGGAGCAGAAAGTAGGTGTGGAGCTGGCTATAAGTATTTATGTATCTGTGCAAACCGGGATCCTGCTGGCGGGGGCCACTCCAGCCCAGTTGGGCTAGAACGGCTCCACATTGCGGCGGGTCTGGTTGGAGGGCCTCCCTGTGGTTTGGCACGGTGGACCCAGTCTCCCTCCCCCCTGCGTGGCATGACATGGTGGACCTAACCAGGTCATTGGTTAACCACTCACCAGGTAAATGGTTAACCAGTTAACCCTTTACATCCCTAGTGCAAACCAACATCTGTAAAATGTATCTTGGTAGTATTCACCTAGCTCAGTTGTCGTTTTTCTTGTGGGTGATGAAACAAAACCGTGTCGGGCCTGATACAAAGTCCAGTGAAGTCAAAGAGCATCTGGACTTCACTGGCTCAGGCCCATCCTGCACAGCGCAGCATTAATGAGACTTCTGTTTCCTGCTTATGTTTTTTAGTCTCTCATATTCCTTGTTCGGGACTGGAGTTTCCCCTACGAATTCTCCTACGGATCTGACGGTGGCTCAAAATTTTTGGAAAAACGTCTGAAGGTTTGGATCCTGGTTGGCATGAACGTGCATGACTTAGTTCTGAGTGGGATGGGTCAGATGCGACGGGCTTGGTGAACAGGGGTTCAAGGATGGCGTAGGCGATCCTCCTTCAGCCCAAGGAAGCCGTTGCGCTCCACGCACCAGTGGATGAGTAGTGATTATGCTGGTCTGGAGACCCTGCTTCCGCACAGGGTTGTGCACGTACGTTCCAGGAGGATGTGATAAACAGGAGACAAAGCAGACAGCTATCAGGCTAATGAGGCCTCAGCTGAGCGTCAGGAAGATAGTATGTAGAGACACCCTGTGTCACATACCCAGAGCAACTCTTCTCCGAGAGCTGTATTTTCTGGCCACACCTTTTTTGGCCAGTGTTCTTGAAAGTGAGGGATTGGGCTCACTTTGACGGCCCCATCTCACGGAGGACCCAAACCCTACCCCACCATATCTTGCATTGCAACAAAGTGACATGGTGTTGTCTTCTGTTCCTCGATTGGATGAGCTTGTGAGCACTTCTGCCGTGACCTCTTTGCATGGGACGTTGAAATTGGTTTCTTGGCTGTCTTTTTGCCAGTGAAATGTGAAGGTTTGAATCTTTGTGGGGAAAAGGAGCAGAAAGTAGGTGTGGAGCTGGCTATAAGTATTTATGTATCTGTGCAAACCGGGATCCTGCTGGCGGGGGCCACTCCAGCCCAGTTGGGCTAGAACGGCTCCACATTGCGGCGGGTCTGGTTGGAGGGCCTCCCTGTGGTTTGGCACGGTGGACCCAGTCTCCCTCCCCCCTGCGTGGCATGACATGGTGGACCTAACCAGGTCATTGGTTAACCACTCACCAGGTAAATGGTTAACCAGTTAACCCTTTACATCCCTAGTGCAAACCAACATCTGTAAAATGTATCTTGGTAGTATTCACCTAGCTCAGTTGTCGTTTTTCTTGTGGGTGATGAAACAAAACCGTGTCGGGCCTGATACAAAGTCCAGTGAAGTCAAAGAGCATCTGGACTTCACTGGCTCAGGCCCATCCTGCACAGCGCAGCATTAATGAGACTTCTGTTTCCTGCTTATGTTTTTTAGTCTCTCATATTCCTTGTTCGGGACTGGAGTTTCCCCTACGAATTCTCCTACGGATCTGACGGTGGCTCAAAATTTTTGGAAAAACGTCTGAAGGTTTGGATCCTGGTTGGCATGAACGTGCATGACTTAGTTCTGAGTGGGATGGGTCAGATGCGACGGGCTTGGTGAACAGGGGTTCAAGGATGGCGTAGGCGATCCTCCTTCAGCCCAAGGAAGCCGTTGCGCTCCACGCACCAGTGGATGAGTAGTGATTATGCTGGTCTGGAGACCCTGCTTCCGCACAGGGTTGTGCACGTACGTTCCAGGAGGATGTGATAAACAGGAGACAAAGCAGACAGCTATCAGGCTAATGAGGCCTCAGCTGAGCGTCAGGAAGATAGTATGTAGAGACACCCTGTGTCACATACCCAGAGCAACTCTTCTCCGAGAGCTGTATTTTCTGGCCACACCTTTTTTGGCCAGTGTTCTTGAAAGTGAGGGATTGGGCTCACTTTGACGGCCCCATCTCACGGAGGACCCAAACCCTACCCCACCATATCTTGCATTGCAACATAACTGGGTGGTGGCCTTGAAGATGCCTTATCAAAGGCTCCGGGGTAGACACATAACAGGTGCTGCACTAAGAGGAGGGGGTGTGGTTCATATGGAAAATTGTTGGGTGAGCTCACTGGCCCCGCCGACACGGGGGATGCCGCAGGTGGTAAGAGGAGACCAATATCCCGCCATAGCTCTTAGGAGCAATCATTAAAACGCATGCGGAACAGTGCAGTTAGCTTGTTCCACCATAGAGATTTCTGGGCAACGTACATTTTAATAGTTAGTTGTGGAATAAACTATATGGGAGAGGCTCCCTGAGAAGTAGCCAGGAAATGTACAGATGCTTTCATAGTGGAAATAAATCGAGAGGGCTTGTGGAGGGGGAATCAAGAAAACCCCTGCTCTGAAATCCTGAGCGGGCTTTGTATTCCAGTCAGACGCACGCATGCACTCTTTTAGGAGTAATAACACGCTCCAGGGCACGTGGTCAGAGGGAGCTAGAAACGTTTCTTGGTTTCTGGAAGCCCTCTCTATGGCCTCGTAAAGCATACATAGAACCAGGGCTGGCCTTACCGTGAGGAGAACTGAGGCGGTTGCCTCAGGTGCCAGACTGTGTGTGTGTGTGTGGGGGGGGCGCACCACTAGGACCCAGAGTGTAGAAAATTGTGTCTGCTGCTGTTAGTTCTCCTTTATTGGGGTAGAGAGCAGAGCAGTCATGAGAGGAGTAGGACAGGAAGGCTGCAGAATTGAGACCTTGCAAAGTTTTGGCCCAAGCGAGGGGGGTGTCATTTGAGCTCCCTGCCTCAGGTGCCAAAATATGGTGGGCCGGCCCTGCATAGGACTCCCTCTCAGTCCACTCCTTGCTCTCTTGCACTTTCCTTCCACAAGCAGCCCTCTTGCAGCATCTACTCCATGCCTCACTGCGATCTATACGCTGCCGGGGCGGCCTGTGAGCATAGGCAGACTCGGCGGTCGCCTAGGGCGCCGCCGGCCTGGGGCACCCAATGATGACGTCATGACCATTGACGGCCGTGCAGGCGGGGGTGCGGATTGCGCCTTCTGCCTGGGCGCCAGCTGCCGCAGCCGGCCTCGGGCCACTCCTGTACGCTGCCCACATAGAATGTGAACACGCTAACGTCAAGCTGATCTCTCCTAGGTCTCGGGAAACCAACATGAAGAACTGCAGAATGTGAGGAAGCACATCCATTCCTGTTTCACCAACATCTCCTGCTTCCTGCTCCCTCACCCGGGCTTGAAAGTTGCCACCAACCCAAATTTTGATGGAAAACTAAAAGGTTTGCTGGAAAATGAAAAGCTCGTGTTTGATGTTGAATCTGAGCGTTTCCCTGTTGCAAGTGAACGATTGCTTTGTTTATACACATTGTCAGACTGCTCTGTTCTCTCCTGAATATCTCCTTCCAAATATTTTCAGTAAAATACATGTAGATAGCAGGGCTGAACGTAACATCTAACACTGACAAACTAGCTATTCATGCCTGTGCATGTTGCTGATTTTAGCCATACAAGGGGACGTATTAGCAGCTGCTAACAAATAATAAAGGGATAAAGTTTTAGGCAGGTGTCTGAGAACAAAGTGTTACCAGCGAGTGACTGAAGTTTGCATTTTTAGAGGCACCATTTTGCACCTATAATGAATTGGTACTTTTTTTGGTCTGCTAATTTGATTCAGACACAAAGTTGTGGAGGCAGCTGATTGTGCTGTGAAAAATGGAAGCCTGGTTTGACAAGTGGGTCCTTAAAATCGAGAGACCTTGGGTGTAAAAAGCTTTCCAAAGCAATATTTAGTTTTGAGTCAGCAGATTAATGGTTTCCCTGGCAGGAAATCTTAGGGTAGCTCAGAGGCTGCATTTCTGCTCCACTGGATTCGTGGGCTGTGGATTTTTCAGTTAACTTTATTTGTGGTTGTGTCGCATTTTCTCTGCTTAGTCATAGAACCCATAGTTCCGTGCTTCCTCATGTCTCTTAGCAGGAAGGAAGACGTCCTTTTAACATCAGACTAAACAATCAGACAAAAGAACTTGCTTTTTGTCGTGCGCCAGAGGCTGCATTTCTGCTCCACTGGATTCGTGGGCTGTGGATTTTTCAGTTAACTTTATTTGTGGTTGTGTCGCATTTTCTCTGCTTAGTCATAGAACCCATAGTTCCGTGCTTCCTCATGTCTCTTAGCAGGAAGGAAGACGTCCTTTTAACATCAGACTAAACAATCAGACAAAAGAACTTGCTTTTTGTCGTGCGCTCCATTGACCGACCATACATCAGTGTTGTCTTCAAGTCATCATTGTCAAGTCCAAGTTGAGTCTCAAGTCACTACAGTTCAAGTCTCAAGTCAAGTCTCGTGTCCCTAAAGTCACTTTCAAGTCAAGTCCCAAGTTGAGTCTCAAGTCTTAATTTAAAAAATGTCAAGTCACTTTTGTACAAGCCATCAATATCGGCATTTTCAAACAATTTTTTCACTGAGTCGATTTAACAAAATTAGCAAGTCTCAAGTTGAGTCTCAAGTCACAAACAATGAACCCAAGTCAAGTTACCTAGGCGACTTAAGTTGGACTCGAGTTCAAGTCGTGGGACTTGAGTCAACAACTTTGCCATACGTCTTACTCCTCTGACAATATGTACGTGTGAAATAGTACCCAGAGAAAAGAGATGTATGAGTTAGTCATTCTTTAATGGTTACGATCCTCTAGAGATTTCACTCCTTACTTCCAAACATCATTGTACGAGACAACTGGAAGGCTGGTTTTAAAAGATTTGGTTTTGACTGTGTGTGTGTGTGTGTGTGTGTGTGTGAGAGAGAGAGAGAGAGAGAGAGAGAGAGAGAGAGAGAGTCTAAGCCCTGTAGAACCTGGTCTAAACTAAGACTTTATTTCAAAATACGCCCCCTTAGGTTGAATTTGAGCATCCACACTACCGAGCCTGTGATTTCGAATAATGGGCCACTTAATTCATAATTTGTTCTCCTGCTTTTTATCAGAATTCCAAAATAGTTATTTCTAAATAGCAGTCATGCGGATGCTCCAGTGCCGCAATTTCGAAATAACGACTCCTCAGAGTAATTCGAACTAATTACTCCTCAGTGCTTCCTGGGGCTCTAAGTCTGAGGTAGCGCATCCACATTAACGGAGCCTGCCTCGGACTCATTTTGAGGCTTCCCCATCGTGTGGATACGCTAGTTCGTTTTTTTTTTAATTGGGCGCTAAGTCGAATTTAATCATAGAATCATAGAACTGGAAGGGACCTCCAGAGGTCATCAAGTCTAGTCCCCTGCCCTCACGGCAGGACCAAGCACCGTCTAGACTGTAGATCATCCCTGACAGGTGTCTGTCTTACCAGCTCTTAAATATCTCCAGAGATGGAGATTCCATAACCCCCCTACGCAATTTTTCCCTGTGGGAAGGGGTTAGGAATCTTTTTTGGGTCAGGGGACGCTGACCCACAGAAATCAGTTGGGGGCCGCACAAAAGTGAGAGACAAAACAACAAAAAAGGCCCCCATCTGGGAAAGAGACAGACACTCCCCACACCCTTCTTGCACAAGAGCTGGGGGGGGGGGAGGCTAATAGATTTTGTGGGGCCAAAAGTGAGGGGTACAGTGTGTGGGAGGGGGCTGCCGGGAAGCAGACTTTGGATGTGGGGTCTGAGTGGGAGAGCGAGCACAGGAGTGAGCTGGAAGAGGAGTCCCAAGTCTCAGGGGCTGGACCCAGGCAAGCCGGAGGCCACATCCGGCCCCTTAGATTTCCCTGCCCTGCCCTTGCTGCAGCAAGAGTGCGGAGAGGGAGGGAGGGAGGCAGGGAGGAAGGAAGGAAGGAAGGAAGACCTCTCTTCACTCAAAATATTGCAGACACAGAGTAATCTAGACGTCAGGGTACTGGTCTGTGTACTAAAAATACCACCGCCGCCTCCAATTCTATGTCCCTGTGGCTAAGCCATCAGGGAAATGTATTGTGTGTTCCAGGCCGGAGGGGTACACACAAACCCACAGGGAGGCCGCCCTGCTAAGCCACTAGCCCATTCAGATTTGTTGGGCTAGCACAGTGCATCCATAGCAGGGTGTCTGAGCTGCAGCAGCATGTGTTTAGTGAGTCCATGTTACGGTGTAACGGTGTACGGTGTTTCTGTATTTTGATTGGCAAAGACGATACTTTAGAAAGGTCCGTGATAAAAATTGGCAGTGCAGAGCATGCAGGATTCATAAGGGAATAGTATCGAAATGGCAAATGAATCGCCACGGCCCCCTTTCCGTGAAGAGAAGCCTTCCTACGGATGTCTTGCACGAAAACCTCACTGCTTCACAGTGCAGCAAAGAAACTCACAGGCTGAGTGAGGAGGAGCCAAGCGGCAGCAGTGGGTGTTAACGCAGCTGCCAGGGCCCTGGGTTTCGTAACGGGATGCTCTAATACGCACACAAGAGCTGCCAATCTGCAGGCTCCACGTGTTGCGTGGTCCCGATCGTTTTAAAATGCTGCCTGTTCATAAGAACATAATGTAAGAACATAAGAACATAAGAACGGCCGTACTGGGTCAGACCAAAGGTCCATCTAGCCCAGTAGCTTGTCTGCCGACAGTGGCCAGTGCCAGATGCCCCAGAGAGGGTGGACCGAAGACAATGATCAAGCGATTTGTCTCCTGCCATCCTTCTCCAGCCTCTGATGAACAGAGGCCAGGGACACCATTTCTATCCCCTGGCTAATAGCCTTTTATGGACCTAACCTCCATGAAATTATCTAGCTTCTCCTTAAACTCTGTTATAGTCCTAGCCTTCACAGCCTCCTCTGGCAAGGAGTTCCACAGGTTGACTACAGCTCAGTGTAAGAAACCTCCTCAGTGGAGTGCAGCAAAAAGCAGGGAAGAACAAGTCTTACTCCTGTACGCCTGGAGGCCACACGTTTTCACGTCGGACTGCGGTTTTTTCCAAGCAGGCGTGCCAAAGGAGAGCAAAGCAAGTCACTCACCACGTTTCAGGGCTGGGGCCGGGCCTGGCTAGGGCTTAGCATCAGGAAGGCTGGGAAGTTGGGATAGTAGCCAGTTATAGGAACAGGTCAGCATCAGACCAGCCGTCCATGGCTATGTGAAGCTCCGTTGACTATAACCAATTTCCTGTTTCCTCCTCTGTTTAAGTAGAGGCAGTGAGCCAATCAGGAGCCTTGGAACTCGCCCAATCAGAGCACAGAGGCGGGGCTTATGCCCCAGTTGGGCTTCCTGGCCTTCAGTCCTAGTTGCTGTCTGTGAGTTGCCAGGCTGAGGACTGGCCTGTGATGACTCTCATGGACCCACTTGGTCAAGAGCTGAAGCGCCTGACTCCATGCGATAGGCCTCCAGTACCGATTCTGGAGGCACGACACCCTGCTGGAGCATGCAAAAGCGGCATGGTGTGCGGAGAGGGCTGTGAGTGCAGTTTAGGAGCCTGCTTTGGAAATGCATAGGGTTGCCAGGTGTCCGGTATTTGCGGCCTCTGTCCGGTAAAAAAACACAGAAAATACCAGACTGGTAAAATGTCCAGCATTTTCTGTTTTTCTTGGATGGAAGGCCACATGCTGCGTCTGGCAGGGGTGAGGAGAGTGGGGAATTTAAAGGTGCAGTTACCCTTTTTATTTTGCGTGGTTTTTTTTTTTTTTTGCTCAACAACTTCGGCCCCGATTTATTTTATTTTATTTTTTTTGCTCAACAAATTTGGTCCCTCCCCTTTTTTTTCTTTTTTTGCTCAACCAATTCCCCCCCCCGCCACGTTCGGTATTTTTTGTGAAAGGATCTGGCAACCCTAGAAATGCATCCTGACGGGGTGAATTCTGCGTGAGTCCAGCAGCACTAACGAGGCATTGACCCTTCTGCGTACAGCCCTCGCTGACTCAGACGGCATCTCGCTCGCAGTACGGCTGCAGCCCGCTGCTGGTGTCTCCCGGGTGCCTCTTGGAGCGCCCGTCTGAGCGGAGAGGCCCTGGCCGTGACGCTGGGTTTGTTTACAGAAATAGATGACGAGTTCATCAAGAACTTGAAGGTGCTGATCCCTTGGCTCCTGAGCCCTGAGAACCTCGACATTAAGGAGATCAACGGCAACAACATCACCTGCCGCGGCCTTGTGGAATACTTTAAGGTATTGGCTCCTCCCCCCTGCGAGAGCGCAGCTACTCAGATGGGAAGCGTTCGCCTTTTTTACCGATGAAAGTGAGACATAAAGGGAGTCTGGGAGGCACAGACTGGGGAAAGCGCACGTCTTCCTAAACTGCATTTATATGGCCCCCGTCACCATAGGTTCTAAGTAGCCTCCCCAATGTCTGTGAGGCCGTGCAGTGCTGTTATCCCTGTTGTACAGACGGGGGCGCTGTGGCACAGACAGACTAAGTGACTTGTCCAGGGTAGCACAGGAAGTCTGTGGCGAAGCCACATGACCTGTTTTGGCCGGGACACTCCCCTTTTTGAGCTCTGTCCTGGCTGTCCTGACTTTTTTTGATTAAAAACGGGCATTTGTCCCATTCACTCTTCCTGACGAATAGGCAAAAGCAAATGAACAAATGCCCAGGTTACCCAAAAGCCTGGCTGTGCCCCCTGAGGGGGTGTGGAGGAATGTTTAGGGGCTGGCAGTGATGTGCAGGTCCAGGCAGAAGAGCATGGGGGCAGGGCAGCCCCATCCCCAGGCAGCATGGAGCTTGGGGGTCAACCCCAGTCCTAGCTAGAGGTGGCACAGAGCTCGGGGTGAGGGCTAGGGGGGTCAGTTCCATCCATGGGTGGTAGCCTGGCTGTGCCCCCTGAGGGGGTGTGGAGGAATGTTTAGGGGCTGGCAGTGATGTGCAGGTCCAGGCAGAAGAGCATGGGGGCAGGGCAGCCCCATCCCCAGGCAGCATGGAGCTTGGGGGTCAACCCCAGTCCTAGCTAGAGGTGGCACAGAGCTCGGGGTGAGGGCTAGGGGGGTCAGTTCCATCCATGGGTGGTCTGGAGCGCCAGCCTGGGCAGTGGGTGGGGGGGAGGGGGCCTCTGGTGAGCCA